CTTAAATGTAATAATTTTATATTAGGCCCTTGTTTGTAATTATTTTCATTTTTTGGGCCCTTATTTGTAAATTCCCCATAAATTTATTTAAATTTTTTTTTTTTAAATAGCATTCAAAGAACATTTTAGTTCATAAAGGAAGAATGTTAATTGCAGATTTTGGAATATCAAAACATATGGATAATGTAACAATGGTTAAAGATAATGGAATGTACGGATATTTAGAACCACAATGCTTTGTAAACCATCAATATAAACGTGACAAAAATCTGATATTTATAGTTTCGGAGTAATTCTCTGGGAGCTTTCTAGTGGTAGACCACCTTTTAATTACTTTGAACACCACGTTGCAATTATAAATTATGTATTAGAAGGAAACAGGGAGGAACCTATAAAAGATACACCAGGCGATTATGTTAAACTTTATCGACGTTGTTGGGACCAAAATCATAAAGTACGCCCTGAAATTAATGCCGTTCTTATAGAATTGAAAGATCCTCGACTTTCTTTGGAAGATGATATGATTCTTTTTGTTAATAAATTATATTCGACCTTTAGTAAACTATTTAACGAAGGTAGATCTGTCAGTGATATAATTATCAATTCCATATCTAAAGCTGGTAAAACCGACGAGAAAGTTTTTAATTGGTTAGTTGAACATAATAAAGATAATCCAAAGTATACTTGTCTACTTGGATTATTTTATAGTTGGGAAATTGGTACAGAAAATAAAACCGACGATGTATTTAATCTATTTCTTAAGGCAGCAAATTCAGACAATATATTTGCTCAATATTTTGTTGGACGATGTTATGAAACTGGTTGGAACATCAGAAAGAATACGAAGCAGGCAATGAAATGGTATAATAAGGCGAGCGAAGCTGGATGTGCAAATGCGAAACGTAGGCTTGGTGAATATTATTATAAACTTAATAAATATAAAAAGGCATTTAATTATCTCAAAAGTGCGGCTGATAAAGGAAACGCATTAGCGATGAATACATTAGGGATATGTTATCAAAAAGGTTACGGAACGAAAGTTGATAAGGTTAAAGGATTTAAGTCATTCGAAAAAGCAGCTGAAAAAGGTCTACCTGATTCACAATTTGAACTTGGTGATTGCTACGAGCACGGTATTGGAACAAAAGAAAATTTGGAGATGTCATTATATTGGTATAAAAAGGCTTCCCAAAAAAATTCTAATTACCAGTATCATGTAACACGTGTCCAGAGTAGATTAAATAACAAACAACAAAAATAAATTAGATATCTTTTATATATAGTTAAATTTCTAATTAACTACTTTAATTTACTCGATTTACTCGACGTTCTTAAATATATTTTTTAATAAAATCTAAATCAACTGTTTTATGCGCGTAATTATGTATGTTGTACGTCGCTTTATGATTCCTCTGAGTTTTAAATTAACACATGTCATTTAAAAATTTATACCGATTGAAAT